ATAGTATATGGTATTAGGGATATAGATTAGTATATAAGATATCATGATATATATATACATATATATATACCTATATGCATATCTCATCTCTATTTTTTCTCTCTCTAATAAATTTAATTAGTGCCTAGATCATCATATTAAATAATTATGGTTCTTCACGTCTCATATCCACTTATTTATACATTGAGCCTGTGATACTGCCAATGTGACAGTTCCAATTGGGAACCGATTCATGAAAACACTACACATCAACTGACAGAATAAGATTCGAATTTTACTAGAGATCTTGACATATAATAACTATGAGCAGTTGCAAAGTGACCATATGCTCTCATCTATTTCTCTCTCTCTCTCGTCTCTCTCTCTCTCACTCTCCTCACGCGTCGTCACGTCCTCTGTCTCTCTTCGTTCTCTCTCATCTCTCTGCTCTCTCTCAGTCATCTCATTCTCTCGTCTCTGTCTCGCCTCACAATGCTCTCTCATCCCATCTTCCCTCTCCGTCATTTTCAGTCTCTCTCTCTTTATATATATATATGGTATATATATGACATCTACTATAAGTTATAATTATAATATAAGATATATTATATGATTAGTGATATGTATATATATGTCGTGTGTGTGTGTGTGTGTGTGTGTGTTGTGTGGTGGGTGTGTGATAATGGTGTGTGTGTGTGTGTGTGTGTATACATATACAGTATATTTTGTGTGTGTGTGTGTGTGTGTGTGTGTGTGTGTTGTGTGTGTGTGTGTGTGTGTGTGTGTGTGTGTGTGTGTGTATGTATGTATGTATATATGTATGTAGTATATGTATATGTATTTGTATGTTATATGTATAAATATATTATGTGTGATATATATAATATATATATATTATATGTATATATATATATACATATATATATTATATGTCATCATATCACCCCTCTCTCTCTTCCTCTCTCTTTCTCTCTCATTCCCTTTATCTCCTTTTCCTTCCCACGTGCCTCCTAATCTTTCAAACTCTCGACCTTTTTTGAGCTGTAACTTCTCAAATCACCAATTAGAATCCTGACTTGCTTTCATATTCCATTTAATCCCCTTCCCTGATTTAATTAGGTTATTACCACCTTCTCTTTAGGAAAGAAGAGAAGATAATCCATAGAGCTGGTAAATGTTATTACCTCTTCCGTTTTATTTTTGTTTCTGAAACCGATACGTACTGTTTTCTTTTGCTATGTTGCTAAAGGTCATATATAATACATATATAGACCTTGGGTATGTTTACAATAACCGCAAAATCCCAGGTAGACTAATGGCGTATGTTTTTGTAAAATTTCCCGAGTAATGATTTCATCCTCCTTCACAGAACATACTTTACGGTTATTGCGCACAAGACACGTGCCTTTTTATAAAGAACTTGTGCGTTGTTATTCAGCTGACAGGAGGCGGACGTGGGCCTAGGGGCGCGGGCGAGGGATCAAGGGAATCGCATGGTGGGTTGGTTGTCGCATATAGCTGTTGCGTTTATATATATTTATATATATATATACATATATATAATATATATATATATATATATATATATATATATATAATACACACACCACACACACACACACACACACACACACACAGTACATATTATATATATATATATAATATATATATATATATATATATACTCTCTCTCTCACTCACATATACACACACACACAGTGTGCATATATATATTTAAACTGTATATGTATGTTTCAGGTGCGCTTAAGCAGTTTTGTAATACACCATATAACCAGATAACCTTAATTCTGAATGACAGTCATCAGTGATTATAGTCATAGATGTTGCCTTGCCTCCCCCAGCCACCACCACCCTGTCGAAGGTCACCCTGGCCGGCCTCACCGCCAGCCTGCCCTGCGAGCTGCCTCTGCCGGCGGACAGGCCGACGCTCATCCTCTGGTACAAGGACCAGGCGACCAAACCTTTTTATAGGTGAGTGCTGCTCGTTCTGCGCTGTTGTTAAATTTAGGATTTTTTAATTCATTACGCGATTCTTTATTTCGTAAACATTTAGAGACAATTTACTTGGCAACTTTTTACACATCGTTCTCACTCGGTGCATTAAGGTAACATGTGTTACACAACTAAAACTCTGCCTCGTGTGTCACGAGATGATACAGAAACTAGAGGCTTTTAGTAGCATCCCCAAAACCAAACAGTTTAATACACTTCGATACATGTTTGCCCTTTACGTGCATATTATTGGAACCTGGCGAAACATCTTTTCATTTCATACTAAAGTGTTTGCCCCTTCCATGAAACAGTTTCATACACACCGGCCAGCCATTCAGGCGCGACAGTTTCCAGATATATCTCACGCAGGCTCAAATAGGAATTTATATTTTCATTAATTACGAATTGCATCGTAAGTTTCTTGATACAAAATTCTCTTCCAAAGGTGCATAGCATTTTCTGTGTCTTTTTAGCAGTACATCAAATAAATTTCCACACGATATGGGTAAAATTAGAAGCCAATCGTGACGGTCGCTGGAACGACAAGGTAAGAATTTCCAACGGGTCCGGATCATATGACGTGGTATTGACTTCGGTGGGATGTTTTCAAAATCATGCTGTACTACTACGTTACAACCTTACGGACTCGATCAGAACTGACATATATATTTTCATATGTTGATAAAATTTAATCAGTATGACAAGTAAATACCTTTGAGCATTGTTATCATCAGGTTATGTGAATCGAACACAGCTTCACGGTGGATGCGATAAGATCCAAAACCACGTGCAATTTCTAGTTTTTCCTATGAAGAACAATTTATGTTATAACAAAAAGATGTTTGGACTGAATCTTAGAAATGCATTAGAAAGTTTCCGCAGCCTTGCGTAGCCAAAAGGAGTGTTTATAAACAATCATATTTAAAAAGTAGTTAAGTAGGCCTACTTTTTCCGTTTTATTTGAAGCTTCTACAATATTTTGCTTGGATTTAATATCATACGTGCATATTAGGTACTTTAATGGATTTTTTTCTATTGACTTTTCATTTGTGAAATTAAGTAAAATAACTTTTTTTCAAAATGTTTTATGCCAGTGTAAACTTCGATGAGAATCGTGTTTTGTAGCTATAATACAGCATCAAACATGTATCAAAGTGTTTGGAGTTTCGGAATGCTACAAAAAAGGCCCTAAGAAAGTGATGCATTTACCTAACAGACAAATGCCACGTGCTGAAGTTCACAAAAAGAAACAAGAAAGCAAAGACTGACGAAACTTAGCAACCCAACTTCTCAGAGACTCAAAAAGCTGTTAAACCTTGACTGAGTTGAAGGTGCACTGCTTCTCACGGGCATGCGCAGTGCCCCGTATCACTTCTGCAACTCATAGCAAAATCAGGCCAAGACCCACTCTTGTCGGCCAGGTGTTGTACATAGGCAACCCTGGCATGGTACATGTACTATTTCAGGATTCATCTCCCTCCTGGCTGTCTTCCCTTCAGCCCGGACCGGCGAGGCCCGCGTGTCTACAGGATTCTTATTTTCTATTTCTTTCTTTTTTGAACTAATAAATGAGATCATGTTTACAATAAGATTATATGAAAATATATACAGAATGTACAGTAAGCCTGTCTCTGGAAAATGTCATTTGATGCTGACATATCAGTTCTCTCACTTTTTTTTTTTTTTTTTTTTTTTTTTTTTGATGCATGAAATAATCAGCTTTCACTAATGAGATAGATTGTCGCTCCGATTAGCGTTATCGGATTTCACTAGCATTGTATGACAAACGACTTTGTTATTTTTTTAACATTTGTATTACACTTTTTTCACTCTCTCCTCTCTCTCTCTCTTCTCTCTCTCTCTCTCGTCTCCTCTCTCTCTCTCTCTCTCTCTCTCTCTCTCTCTCTCTCTCTCTCTCTGTGTGTGTGTGTGTGTGTGTGTGTGTGTTGATTGTCACCAGAATTGTGCGAAAAGTAACTAATGATGAAAATTCATGGTTGGCCCAGGTACCAGAAGATTAGAATTTAATGGTGATCCGCAGTAGATGAGTAGATATTAAGGCACACGTAGAGTAGATTTGGGGCAAAGATGCTGTATATTTCAAGGTGAATTTTAAGGTTACACAGAGTAGCTTATTTTCGGGTAGATTAGGGATGATCAGTAGTAGATTTCTGGCAATGTGCGGTAGACGACTAAACTTTATAGTAGACAAAGGTTGTAAAAAAGGGTGCCTTATTTTGGAATTCTAGGTAGATTAAGAGTGTATCATTTATAATCTGCTCGCTTCTGCCAAGGAGTTTCTTTTATTCCAGGCAAGAAGTTATTGACGGATAATTATGAGATTTTACCTGCGTGTTGTTCCTGGGTTCCGATGGGGTTTCGGGTCGTGTGCAGTCCAAGGGCGCTTCATCTCTTATGCGAAGCTCGTAGAAAATGGGTTTGCTATTTGTAGGGAATTCATTTTCCTCGAAATCTGGTGGTTGTCTTGTGGATTTTGAAACAGATATTTTTTTCTATCAGCAAATCGTCACCTCTCTCTCTCACTATTCTTTCTTCCTCTCTCTCTTTCTTTCTAGCCTCTCTCATCCTCTCTCTGTCGTCAGCTCTTACTCAGTCTCTCTAATCATCAAGTCTCTCATTCTCTCTTCATCTCTCTGCTAATCTCTCATCTCTCTCTATCTCATC